TATATGAACTCGATGTATTGATTTTCAAGATTCCCAATTCTTATTTACCCAGAAAAAAACAAAAACCAAATAGTCTAAAATTCTAAACACCTCACCCATAAATAATAGAGAGAGAGAGAGGAGAGAGAAAGGAAGAGATGTGGTTAGAGAGAGAGGAGGATGGGTTAGATATAAATACTCGTATCTCACTTAGCTTCCTTGCACTTATAGTAGTGAATCAAAAGGCCAATTGATCTCAAACTTTTCTATAGGGCAACCCAAACGGCGTTTAAGTATCTCTTTTTCTCCTCTTTTTACAGCGATTTTCCTCTTTTTTCCATTTGATTTGTCCTGAAAGTGTGATCCTAAACCCTAATTTCAATGGCGAGGCCTTCGCGTGATGCAATTGAGACATTCATGAGCATCACTGGCGCGTGTGAAGCTGTTGCAGTTCAGAAGCTTGAGGTAATTCTCAGAGGTTTTTTTCACTGAATTGTTAGAATTATGGCTTTTGATTGCCTTATGCTCTCTAAGTCTCTGCTTTTTTCCCTTTTTTTTGTTCTTCTTTGGCTATTTTTTCATGTTTTACGGTAAATTCTTTGTTGTTTTGAGTTATTTTTCTGGTGTTTGGTTTCTCTCATTCCCATTTGTGACTGGATATGGTGTCTGTTGCTCCATTTGGTGACAATTGGGTTTTTTCCTTGTTTCTTTTCTACTACTTTTTGTTTAATATCAACATATTCGTTTTTCCTTTGATTTCGGCTATGTAGAGCAAGCCAGAGCTTATTAGGGTATGCCCAGGTGGTTCCATTCATCCGAGTGCTATTCTGCAATGACTTTGATCAATCATTTGGAGTTTCACTGATTGGGTTAGGGTTTCTCATTTCTACTTGCTGCCTCACATTTGGTGATTGGGATAAGGATTATTACATGGAATATGGGAATCCTATTTACATCAGAATCATCAATGTTTCTTTTGGGGTCAAGGTTCTACCATTTTCTGGGTTATGCATTAGGCAAACTTCATGAGTAGTAGACAACAAGAACGATAATAATGATCATGTTCAGTGTACCATGAGGCGTCCACCTTGGATTCCGTGGCAGTGCCATCCTTGATGCCCCAGCCCATGCCCAGGCAGACCGCCCTTGGTGGGCTTACCAGATGTGCGCCAACGTTGTGTGTATGAGCTAGCCATTGTATGTTGTGATCTGTGAGAGAGAGAGAGAGAGAGAGAGAGAGAGAGAGAGAGTAGTAGTAGTAGTAGTGTGTGTCGTAGTCGTAGGAGGTAGGAGTAGTACGTAGTAGTAGTAGTGTGTGTGTGTGTGTGTAGTAGTAGTAGGTGTGTACGTGTCG